CTCTCTCTCTCCTCTCTCTCTCTCTCTCTCATCTTCTGCCAATCGTTTGAAAGCTAAGAATGTTGCAAGTGAATGGCTGTCGTTATTACACACACACACCACAACAACGTCCACACCCACACATCAAGCCTCCCTCTATTTATCGCTCTTTCTCTCTCTCTCTCTAAGCTGCTTCCTTCTTCTTCCTCTCCTCTCTTCTTCTTCTTCTTCTCTCATTACAATGGCATCATCACTGCAGTCGCTCGCATTCTCCTCCCAGTGTCTCATTGCCCACACCAGACTCGCTTTCTTTCAGGTATTCATCTCTCTCTCTCTTCTCTCTCTCTCTCTCTCTTCTCTCTGTGTTCAATACTTGGCTGTAGATGGAAACCCCTGTTTGAATCCTTCCCAGAAAATTATGTTTTTTTTTTCTTTGGCGTAATGTTAAGACTTGGCCTAAGAGCTCAAGTTTGGGGCCACATTTTTGTGTATTATGGTTTGTACTCAATCTTTTCTCTCCCAAACACATTAATATGTACTAATTGGGCCTTCTTTTTCTTTTTTTGGGTGTAATTGTTGCTCTGAACCACGAGTTCCTCGGATCAAAAGATAGCCCTCGACGATCAACAACCTTTTTGTAAAGACCAAAGGTGAGGAAAACACCCAAGCTAGATCAATATCTAGAGAGAAGGCAAGGTTTTAGAGAGAGAGGCTCTCAAATGGCCTTTTCAGAAAAGTAAGAGAGAGAAAGAGTGAAAAAAAGTGATTTAAAACTGCCCCACAGTCAACTGATATACGACATTCCCGCTCAAGCGGAAAACACAACGCTCGAGCGTCAAGAACAAAAACTAGGTCCGCTCGAGCGCAAAAGGACCCACTTGAGCGCCAAGACACAAGAATAAAGTAAACCCGCTCGAGTGCGAAAACCAGTCCGCTCGAGCGTAGATTTCCTGCTCCCAGAACTTACACCCAAAGGTACTACCCGCTCGAGCGCCAAAGTACCCGCTCGAGCTCCACCGCTCGAGCGTAGAGAAACCCACTCGAGCGTGAAAAACACACCTGCAAAAGTTTTGCAGGGACACAAAAAATTGGGAGTGTGCAATCTCCGCTCGAGCGCAAGAAGATCCGCTCGAGCAGACCCCTTAAAAACTGGGTAACAAGGAATTGAAACCAAGGCCTAACCAACCTGTAACAACTCTACTCAATACATCCTAAAACTCAATCAAGTGGAATTAAAGGATGACAACAAGGTGTACCACTACCAACATCACGGAACCGAGTCCGGAATACAACAAAACAGTAAAGGGACAACTGGGATCACTATAACCTCCCCCCTTAAAGAATTTCGTCCCCGAAATTAAATACAAGTTTTTCAAAAACAAGTTTTCTCCATTTTCAACAATATTACAACATAATATTAAACAAACCGACCCATTACCGGTCAATCCCATCTCTTTTCAAGAGGCAAAACACATTATTTAAAACAACTTGCATTATCAACATGCATTTCTTTGAAATTTACCAATTTCAACTCATTTTCCACAATTCAATCATACATGCAACATTATCATCATGCTTGCATTCCCACGATACATTAACATACGCAATGTTAAAACAAACTTCCATTAGCCAAAACATTCACAATGCTTTACAACTTAAGACACATACAATGTTCTTAAAGTTCAACAATATTATAGAGTTTCATTACAAAATTACACATCGATAAACATGTCCGGATACTTCTCACGGACTTCCAACTCGCGTTCTCAAGTGGCTTCCTCCACTCCGTGATGTTTCCACAAAACCTTTACCAAGGGAATGGTCTTGCCTCGCAAGACGTGATCCCGCCTATCTAAGACCCGCACCGGTCTCTCCTCATACGAGGCATCCTCATCTACCTCCAAGTCGGTCCAATCTAACACATGGGATGGATCCGGCTTATACTTCCGAAGCATACTAACATGAAAGACGCCATGAACCCTGGACAACTGTGGTGGCAAAGCCAAACGATAAGCAACTTCCCCAATCCTCTCAAGGATCTCAAAAGGACCAATAAACCGAGGGGATAACTTCCCACTCCTCCCGAACCTCATCAAACCCCGCCTAGGTGATATTTTCAAGAAGACATGATCACCTACCTCAAACGCCAAAGGCCTCCTCCTACGGTCGGCATAACTCTTTTGGCGACTCTGGGCTGTAACAAGCCTACTACGGGTAAGCTTGACTTTCTCCGTCATCTCCCGAACCAACTCCGGGCCCAACAAAGGTGCATCACCCACATCGGCCCAACACACTGGAGACCTACACAACAAATCATCTATACGGGGCATAGGGTACTTATTCTTGACCGTAGCCCGATTCAACTTCCGGTAGTCTATACAAAGTCTCAAGGCACCATCTTTCTTTTTAGACTGAATGTTGTTGTTGTAGGCAAACTCCACTAAGGGCAAGTGCCTCTCTCACGTCCCACTAAAGTCAAGGACACAACCTCGAAGCATATCCTCAAGGATCTGAATAGTACGCTCGGACTTCCCGTCAGTCTGAGGATGATAGGCCGTACTAAAGGTCAACTTAGTGCCCAAGGCACTCTGCAAACTCTGCCACAACCTAGCAGTAAAACGAGGATCTCTATCTGAGACGATCGTCATTGGGATTCCGTGCAATCTCACTATGTCCCGAATATACAAGTCGGCGATATGATTTACCAAATCTCTCACGCGCATAGGAATGAAGTGCGCCGACTTAGTCAACCAGTCTATAACCACCCAAATGGCATCACTACCCCGCTGAGTCCTCGGAAGACCTACAACTAAGTCCATAGTGACATGCTCCCACTTCTACTCGGCAATAGGTAAGGGTTGCAACAAACCCGCTGGCCTCTGATGCTCGGCCTTCACATGCTCCCTGGTATTATGATTTTATAGCATAACGGACACCAAATATTTTCATAATGTCTAAGGTCCCTCAATAATATTTTCATAATGTCTAAGGTCCCTCAACCTTGATCCAGAGAAATTTCAGTTCAGAGAAATTTCAGTCCAGAGAAATTTGGTCCAGAGAAATTTCAGTCCAGAGAAATTTCAATGCAGAGAAAATTGGTCAGAGAAATTCTGGCCCAGAGAAATTTCTCTGGACCAAATTTCTCTGGATGAGTTTCTCTACTTTTCTTCTCATTCACATCCAAATCATTGTGATTCATTAGGTAAGCAACATTGTTCAACTGAATTCAACTGGAAAAATTCCACATTGTAATATGTAAGCAACATTAGAATGGGATAACAATGGCAACTTACCGGAACCAGAGAAATTCTGGAAAAATCTGAGTATTTCTCTGGTTTGTTATTGAAATATCAATTGAGAATTTCTTTGGTTTATTAAAAACAACAATTGAGAATTTCTCTGGTTTGTAATATCTGGAAAAATTTCTGCAACTTACCCAAATCTGTTCTTCGCTTTTTTCTAGTTGATTTTTTCAATCGAAAGTGTTTCTCTGTTGAACAATGTTCAACTAGAAAAATTCCACATTGTAATATGTATGCAACATTAGAAGGGATAACAATGGCAACTTACCAGAACCAGAGAAATTCTGGAAAAATCTGAGAATATCTCTGGTTTGTTATTGAAATATCAATTGAGAATTTCTCTGGTTTATTAAAAATAACAATTGAGGATTTCTCTGGTTTGAGAATTCACCAGGTTGGTTTTTTTCATTTACAAAAACATTCTGTGAAGACCAATCAAACATTAGCCAAAAAACATTAGCCAAAAAATTCTATTTTCTGTTACCATTCGAATCCGACTACTTAGCTTACTTGATCTTCTCAAGCTGAACCTGAGTATCTTTGGACAGCTGCATTCTCTCAACCTTCAAATGTCAACCACGGCAGCTTCATTTTTCGAGCTTCACACTGCACACACACAACTTCAACCCATGCACATACACAACCCATGCACACAGTCACACACATACACGGCACACACACACACCACAACACATAGATAACTAGCTATATCAACATTACCTCTCCAGAGAAATTTTGAAATTTCTTTGGATCAATCCAGAGAAATTTTAGCGGCTTGGTTTTTCTCTGATCTGTCACTTATATACTCTATTACCTCCAGCTGCTGATCCATCCGAACATCATTCTAGGTGAATCTGATTTTGGATCTTTCAATTCTCATGAATCTGATTTTGCTTTGGAATTAGGTTTTGTTGGGAAGGATTTCAACAGGAGTCCAAAACGACTTGGAAAAGGTGACCAAGATGACCTATGCTCAAGTGACGATCTATGGTTTTAGCGATAAAGTAGGTCTTCTCTCATTTCCTCAAAGAGAGGACACATTTGAGATGACGAAGTCGTACAACAGCAAGACCGCTGCAATCATCGACAACGAAGTAAGAGAATTGGTGGCAAAGGCATACGATCGCACGTTACAGTTGATAGAGCAGCACAAAGAGCACGTAGCTCAAATCGCTGAGTCGATCAATGTGTCCCTGGCGGAGGAGCTGAATACAGGAAGGAGAGCAACTGGTCAAGGGTTGGGGATTTGGAGCCAACGGTGATCAAGCTCAGGACAACGTGGATGGAGAGGGGATGGGGTGAGGGACCTTAGACTACAAAAGAACAGATTGTGGACCTAATCCATTACTAAAAGTTGGATAGGAACCTTAGACTGATTTTTTCTAATTATTAAATCATTCTATTTAACTTTTTACATATTTTTTTTTAAAAAAGAAAAAAAAAGGGTCAATTTCCAAACCAAACCTCTCAATCTAACCCAACCCAACCATCCCAGCAAGGCAGCAACTTTCACACACACACACACTCTCTCTCTCTCTCTCTCTCTCTCTCTCATCTTCTGCCAATCGTTTGAAAAGCTAAGAATGTTGCAAGTGAATGGCTGTCGTTATTACACACACACACACACCAACAACGTCCACACCCACACATCAAGCCTCCCCTCTATTTATCGCTCTTTCTCTCTCTCTCTCTAAGCTGCTTCCTTCTTCTTCCTCTTCCTCTTCTTCTTCTTCTTCTTCTCTCATTACAATGGCATCATCACTGCAGTCGCTCGCATTCTCCTCGCCAGTGTCTCATTGCCCACACCAGACTCGCTTTCTTTCAGGTATTCATCTCTCTCTCTCTCTCTCTCTCTCTCTCTCTCTCTCTCTCTCTGTGTTCAATACTTGGCTGTAGATGGAAACCCCCTGTTTGAATCCTTCCCAGAAAATTATGTTTTTTTTTTCTTTGGCGTAATTGTTAAGACTTGGCCTAAGAGCTCAAGTTTGGGGCCACTATTTTGTGTATTATGGTTTGTACTCAATCTTTTCTCTCCCAAACACATTAATATGTACTAATTGGGCCTTCTTTTTCTTTTTTTGGGTGTAATTGTTGCTCTTCTTTACACATGATGAAGGGAAAGAACATATAAGGCTGAAATGGGTCTTCGTCATGGCTTGAGGTTTTTAATCCTTTTTTCTTTTTCTTTTTTTCCTTCTGAAATTTGACATGGTCTTTTGCTACGGACATTTTACTGGAAAATCCAACAAATAAATACGACATAGAAAAAAAAAAAAAAATTAAAAATCAACATAGCCTTTGATGCCAACCAACCACTTGAATTGGCTGAATTAATATGATTTCAGCCCAGCAATGTACTCATCTGAATCATAATATCGTCGTTCTAATTGCCTCACCCCCGTTGTTATATAGGCATTCCCCTTATTCATACAACACTTTCTACTTGAACAAAGTCAGTTCTTTGTCTGCATTAATATTTTTATTTTTTCTTCCCTGACTACTCATAAGACTGCATTTGTGTATTTTCAATTTTGAATATATGCTCATTTGGTTGGACTGCATTATGCATATAGCAAAGGGACATAGCATTCATCCACTTGTTAGCATGTTATCTTGTTAAATTTGAAAATTATGTTTTATGGATTGTTTGTCCTGCATCATTTGCTTTGATTTTTTGTTTTTTTCTTCTCCTCCTTAATTTTCTGGTGGAGTTTTATTGTGATGTTTTGGAACAGCTTAAAAATATGATATAAAAAGGATTATATTGTATGATTTGGGATTTCAAAGCATTTCTTAGATTTCTAAGCCAGAATTGGAAGAACCCTTTTTTTATCAGAGTGCTCCCAAGAGGATGTCTTATTAGGATTGTGATAGTAATGTCAAATTAATGCTATATCATAGCTGAGAGAATTTCATATTCCAAGGCGAATCAAATGCATGTCCAGTACATCTCAAAAAATGCAGCATATTCCAAGATGAATCAAATGCATGTCTATTATATTTAAAAAATGCAGCATCCTAGGGACAGAACAGGAACTCTCCCCAAAGGATAGCCAAGGATATTATTTGGCTTCATCGTTCTTATATACCTTAGACTCACGGCCGATAAAAAAGAACTATGTATATATACCCAAGACTCTCATGCAAACTTCCAACGTGGGAGGACTTATCACATGCCAACATGGGTCTTTTAGCTCTGAAACTTGTCTAAAACTCTGAACCATTTGTTTAGATCAGTATTTCCTGGAACTGAACTCAAGAAGACAGAAGTACAACAATGAACTGTGTTGTAAATTTGTTATATGAAACTCGGTGCAACTCATGCAGTATCAATAGTGATATTCAGATAGAGATAATACAGGAAGGTATTCAACTATCTTGAGCCTTTGCTTACTGGATGGAAATCCGATCCTAGGAGGACTGGTTGCATAGGTACTGGAATGATAATCAAAGAAGAAACACAGCGATTCAGCTATGCTCAAGCCAAACTGACTTGAATATAGGGGTGTTCTATTTCGTCCACTATGGACAACTAAACAATTTTTTACAAGGTCCACATGTGAATTAAGATGTGTTACACGCACTTTTCTTATGGGAATAAAGGCCTTTCAGTCTTTGTGCCAGTCTATTAAAACACTCATTCCTCATAAAGACTGTTAAGTACAATATATTAGATAGTGGCTAGCAATTGATGTTAAATACAACATTTGTTTTTTGTTTAATAGGCATGGCAGCTGGGGCTGTTCATCGAAGTGCACGGTCCCCATTCAGTGGCCAACCTCTGCGCCTGCAACGTTCATGTTGGGCAGCCTCACGAAGAAGTTCTCAAATTCCTACACTTAGCATAATGATGGTCAAACCTACAATTCAGTTCATTCAAGGAACTGATGAACAGACAATTCCAGATGTGAAGCTAACCAAATCAAGGGACGGCACTAATGGAATGGCTATATTCAGGTTTGAGCAACCCTCGGTTTTTGACTCGTCTAGCGAATTAGGTGATATCACTGGTTTCTTCATGATTGATGAAGAAGGGGTCCTTCAGTCGGTTGATGTAAGTGCCAAGTTTATCAATGGAAAGCCTGCAGCGATTGAAGCCAAGTATGTAATGCGGACTCCAAGGGAGTGGGATAGATTTATGAGATTCATGGAGAGATATGCTAACAAGAACGGCTTACAATTCGTCAAAAAATGAAGATGTATGTATATATATCCTTCTCTCTTCCACTTTCATCTACCACCGCACTGGTCTTGCTGTATTTGGATTTTGAGTGAAAATGCAAATTTTGAACAACTTACTTGATCTCCTTGTAGAGCTGATGTGTACTACATATATACTCCCTCTCTCATAACATATTTTGTGTCTATGGTGATACATTGGGGTGAATGGCTTGTATTTCATGGACTCGCTCTTGATATTGTTACATCACTTGCCACTTTCTTTTGCCTATGTGAAAGGAAAAATGTCATGACCAATAAAAGGTAGCTTGACTAACGAAAATGACTTTTGATAGAGACGCGTGGAGAAGAAGAATTCATGTAGTCGACTCTATTTGATGGGACTTAAGACTTGGTTTGGTTTGGTTTGGTTTAGTAGTCAACCTGTGTGCTATGTACAGCTAAACGCATATGATAATTAGACTTATTAGCATTGTATGAATTTTTAACTTGCTAAATTATTTTCATTTTTGAATTTTGAAATATATAATGAGGATATCTATTTTAGGTCTACTTGTTTGGAGATGTAATCTCTTCAACTCTGGGCTTTCGACTTTGGGGATTGCACATGATTGGTCTTGCATCGAGTGCCAATATAATTGCAACAATGCTAGGTATCATGAAAAGTCTTTCATGAAAATGATCATGAAAGATTTGTGACCTTTGGATTACACTTATAATAAAGCACCACACACTAATCAAGATAATCTGAGAGTCACAAATTTTTCATGATGATTTTCATGAAAAAAATTTCATGATCCCTAACATTTCTCATATAATTGGGATGTAATGTCTTGATAATAATGCAGTTCTTCCTATGCCTTGTGTTGCAACTCCTTTTTTTTTTTTTTTTGTCTCATAAATAAAATTTCTCTTGCTTTGCTGATAAAAAAAATAAAAATAATAAAAAAAAGGATTGTCACAACCCAAGTATTTCATTTTTTTGTTGTTAATAATATGTAACCCTAGCATTACACCCGTGCAATACACTGAAACTTGAAAAAAAAAATGTTAAGAACATAAATTTTAGATCTCTATGTTATTTTATGATTCATTTATCTTTTATTTCTTTCTTTGTCATTCTTTTATTTGACTTTTGTGTTATTGTTTAGTAGATATTGTTTGTTGTAATAATGTAAAAACATTTAGATTTTGTTGAAGTTCAAATCAAATCAGTTACTGAAATTTTATTGACTTTCTGCAATTTCAGTAGATTTGGATAGTGAAATTTCTTGAACTTTTAATTAGTGAAATTTCATGAACTTTAGTTTAAATTCACTAGTAAGTAGTGGATTTAATTAATCAAATACAGAGCAATTTCTCTAACCAATGTGCTTACAGTAAAAGTTCAATTGAATTTCAATTTCATAATTTTTAGCCATTTATTGAGAATTTTTATATTTTGAAAACATTTAAACTTCATTGTATTAGAGTAAAATTGTGCTAAGATAAGGAATTTTCAATTGACTTTTCAATTTTGCAATTTTTAGCAATCAATTTTTTATTATTTTTTTTGGGTTGAAAATAGTAAAATTTCATTAACTTAGCACAATAAAATTTCTCCTCGTCAATTACAAATTTTTTTGGGGACTCTTCTGCAAAGTGAAATTTGACGGTGCTAAGTTACTGAAATTTTACATCGCTGGTGTTCACCGGAGAATCGCCCAAAAATTACCACCGACAACCAGTGGTAGTCACCCAAATATTTGTTGTTGCCCTGGCCATGGTGACCGGAAGTGGTCATACAAAGTATTTTCTAAAAAACTGAATAAAAAAATCCCTAAATTTTAACTTGCTTTATTTTATTTTAGGATTTACTATAATTCATGTTATATTATAGATGACGTTAAGAGTCCTGTAATTATTACTTCTATCTTTTTTTTCTACAATTCATGTTATTTTTATTTTTGTCAATATGATTTTACAATTAAAAACAATGTAATTAAAAATTAATTGTTAAAACTTTTACATACAAATCTATTATATTTTGTATAAACATTTTTAGAAGGATTTAAAAAAATAAAAACTTAATTTATTTTTGGATTAATTACATTAAAACCCCATCAACTATCAACGAATATCATTTTACCTCCCATCTATGAACTTGTAAAGTTTGACCCCCATCACCTGTGAAAATACATCACTTTCACCACCGATGGATTCCTTCCAAAAGAGATGTATTTGTACACTTTTCATAATTAATGCAATCAACATATATGGGCTCATAAGTAAAATACTCACTAAAAATTAAAGGGATCTTGACCCTTCATTTTTTTTAATAAACATTTTCAAAAAGACTATATTGTAAGAAACCTTGAAAACATTTCCTTATTAATAATGGCATACACTTGCATTTTAAAACTTACTTTAATAATTAATTGAATTTCTATTGATTAAAAGTTTGAGATCTTATGACATGTACTTTTTTATAATTTATAAATTCAATAATTTGAAAAGTTTACATTGAGATTTTGAGCCTTAGACCTAACACCGTTTTTGCTGATATAATAGGAGGCATAGTTCTTGCAACATTAAATAATTGCTCGCACCACACACCACTTTTTTTTTTTTTGGATGCAACTTCAACAGGCACAACCCAAGTAAACCTTTAAATTTTTCAAGATTTGGGCAACATAACATTAAATTTGATGCAGACTTCAACAGATATAAAAGCTTGAATTAAATTCAGATCGAATTGGGGCAAATAATTTCTATTAATTAAAAGTTTGAGATCTTATGACATGTATTTTTTATAATTTATAAATTCAATAATTTGAAAAGTTTACATTGAGATTTTGAGCCTAAGACCTAACACCGTTTTTGCTGATATAATGGGAGGCATAGTTCTTGCAACATTAAATAATTGCTCGCACAACACACCACTTTTTTTTTTTTTGATGCAACTTCAACAGGCACAACCCAAGTAAACCTTTAAATTTTTCAAGATTTGGGCAACATAACATTAAATTTGATGCAGACTTCGACAGATATAAAATCTTGAATTAAATTCAGATCGAATTGGGGCAAAGATACTAAACAATCCTAGCAATTCAAAATCCAAATTATATATAAATATATGAAAAAAGGGAATTTTTTTTTAGGGTCCCTGTTATTAAGATTTTATAGCATAAAGAATATTCAATATTTTAATAATATCTAAGGTTCTTCAATTTGATCCAAAGAAAATTCGACATCACAGAGAAATTTGGTCTTTCTAGAGAAATTTTAAAAATTTCTCTGACCTTCCCTAGACTTCACACTATAAATTTCTCCTCTCCTGAGAAATTTTTTTCTCTTGCCTACCTTGTACTTCCCTCTCCAAAGAAATTTTGAAAATTAAATTTCACTGGCGGCATGGTTAGAAAAGAAAGTAAACTTAATCAATATTTAAGTTGCATCACAAGTTAGAAAAGAAGGTAAACTCCTCAGGTTCTAATGAAAACCCTGGATTAACAATCAGGGACCTCAGTGAGAATTCCATTCCATCACAAGTTGCAGATTTGCCTCTTGCAGCAGCGACTCCAGAGGTTAAAAATGTTGAGGAACAGATTGATGACAATTCTGGGAAGGAAATGATCATGAACGACAACGCTTGCGATTCAACATCAGAGGCTGGTTTGGAAATGCAACATGAGGTAGAGGTTGACGAAAGACATAAGGTAAATGACAAACTCTATGCTGAAAAATCTGGTGGTTTTCTTCCATTGCTGGTGAAAATTGTGAAACTCAGAGAAAGAATCAAATTACAGAGGAAATCAACTTGACAAAGGCGGCTTGTAATCTGGTGACTAATTCTAATGAGTAATGCAATATTCAATCTAATAGAGGTGTTTTCACGAAAGAGGCTTTTGATCTTGTTAACTCTGTGCCTTGACTTCCCACAAAATTATCTCTAGAGAAATTTTGGAAATTTCTCTGGTCTCCCTGGCCTTTCCCAAAATCGGATCAATCACCATCGAAATCAACAATTCCAGAATCAGAACACAAGCCCATCCCAAATCATTCACTCTCTCACTCTTCTCTAACCTCTTATCCACCGGAAACACCTCCGAAATAGCATCCAAAACGAACCTCGCCAAATCGACACAGTCAACTAGGGCAACCGACATTTGAGCCCTCATTGAGTCCAATTCCTTTTTCTTAGCTGTCACAAACCTCCAGAAACCCTCGGTGTCCATTTTTGTACACAAATTCCTTAGTTTCAAGAGGAAACCCTCGCCGTCATCAACTTCGCCTTCTCCACCGCCGTCGTTGTTGCCGACATCGTCGAGAGCGGCCACCTTGCACTGATGGACCTTAATCAATATTCAAGTTGCATCACAAGTTCTGATCTTGTTCATCAAGAAGGTTTTGCTCGAGAGACGAGAGAAAAAGATTCGACAATGAAGAAGTTGATAGAGAAAGAAGTCAAATTTCTCTATGTGGCGTTGAAGGATCTTAGACATTATAAAATAATATTATGAATCTCTTTCATTACTAAAAATGAGAGAGGGATCTTAGACTAATTTTTCTTAAAAAAAATTAAGTATAAATTATTAGCCATGATGTTAAGATTATATGGACCGTTATTCCTCAAAATCTCTCTTTCATCATATAATTTATAGGCTTAATGACAAAAAAATCCCCTTCAACATTAGCAAATATGAACCCGCAAGGGTAGCCCAGTTGGTTGAGGCCAAGGGACTTGGGGCCTAGGAGTTTGCTCCTCTCTAGGTCTCATGTTCGAATCCCACTCCCAGCTGTGCTCCTGGCGGGCCACTGCGTCTTTGCCTGGTCGATCGGCTCAGGGCCCCGAGATTAGTCGAGGTGCGACACTCCGAAGGAGTGCTGGCCCGGACACTCGGTCATCAAAAAAAACATTAGCAAATATCAATTTGTCCATAAACGATGGAGAATAAATTGATTCACTATTAACCCTATATATATATATATATATATATAGACAAGGTCTAACTTTACCAATATATTCAGCCTAGCTGCAGAAAATATGAAGGAAAAAAAATATATACAATCATTTCTTTTTATACATTAAATTTCTACATATATATATATATAGACAAGGTCTAACTTTACCAATATATTCAGCCTAGCTGCAGAAAATATGAAGGAAAAAAAATATAAAAATAAAGGATGTCCATTCCAAACACAACAATCCAATGAGACATGAAAACCAGGTGTGAATATACACGAGGGAAAAGTTAAACCAAAGCTCAACAGCCAGGCAAAGTATATCACCTGCTTCTTTCCCAGAACAAGTTTAATTAGTATTCTCCGACTTAAATAATACAACCATATTGAAAAAGGGCCCTCCATATCTTTATTATTTTCTGCTTTGTCTCAATGAAAGCAAGCACCTTTTAGAAACCTATGGTTCAAAAGGCTAGCCCCATCCATAAATATTGAAACTAAGGTTCCAACCATCATACCAATTGATCAAAGATCTAAAGCATTATTAAACCACATGTGTTGAGATAAAAAAAACATTCTCTCAGGGGCAGAAAATCTGCACCAGCAAATTTCCTAGTACAAACAAATGGAGGTATGCATCCCTGCATCAAAGCTTCCAGTTGGGTGTCAATTTTGAAAAGTCAAAAACTAAAGAACCAAAGAACCCCATTATGGGTATGCATCTGTAGATACTTTTTCGCTGACTGTAGAACCATATTGTGGTCCACCTTTACGGTATGAGAGAAGGAACTCAATAGGATATCCCTTCAGCTTATGTGGCACAATGCCGAGAGCATCAAAAGTTAAAGCTGCAAAGCAACCACAAAATCAAAGGTGTAAAATGCATATAGACATCTTAAATTAGCATAAATGTCATTGAAAAACAGAAAGTAAAAAGTTTAGAGCTTGAACTTTATATCACTAACCATCTGGTGACACAACTGTATCTTGAGTAAGGGCATTGATTAGATCTAGATTGAATATAGCTGGAGTGGGCAGTGGAAAGGGAACTTTTTTGAGCAATATCTCTCGAGGCATTGCAATAGCCTGAAATCATTGAAACCAACAAGAAATTAAGCATAATTAAACACTTGAACTTGGTCACCTGCTGGTGGCGCAAATGAAGCGGGAACTAACACCTATACATGAAAATAACCAAAAAGATGAGAACACCCAAGTTGACTCATGGATGAACAATAACCATAATATCTTTCCTCCTTTTCCTTCCTTTTTTTGTTTTTTTTTGTTTTTTTTGATAACTAAATGTCATATTATTCTTACCACAGAAAACACTTTTTGGTATATGCACATGAACAAAGATGTGCCCAAGTGCAATTATATTTTATATTTAAATAATTTTTTTTTGAGCAATGCAGGCATGCAACTTAGGTGACCCCCTTCTTTGGCGAATGAGACACTTTCATCAGCTAAAAGCAATAGCAGAACATTTTATTTTAAAAAAATAACACTTAAGGGAAAAAGAAAATCAAGGTGGCTTCTGATTTGTAAAGCAAGTAAATTGTTAATGGAGTTGAAGTTACCAGTCCACTACGCATTGCCACTCAAAATCAAGATATTAGGATTGGACTTAACAATCAATTCATAACCTTTTGAGCACAACCAATATCTTTTCAAACACCCTTTAGTTGTAGGAGTAGTCCATCTTGGATCTGTCACGTGTCAGAGTGTCCAACGAGTGTTGGTGCACACGACATGGACACGCCACCTTAGAAGTGTTTGTGCTTCTTAGCCTAGACCAAACTGGTTCCAAACCAACCAGCCCAACCAAATTGGGTGACGGTCTTTCTCAACTTATAAAATTGGGTGCTGGTTGGTTATCGAGTGTGGGCATTAAAAACCATAAAATCAAGCCAAACAATCTCTCTGTGTTCTCAGATCTACCTCCAAACCCCTAACCGACCAAAAAGCTCATGATCCCTCCAAAACCCTATGAACGGAGATACAAAGGTTTAATTGCAGTGGTAATGAACGATGAAAAACTTCAACTTCCTCATCTGAACTGACCTACCAGATCTCCCTCTTACAAGAAGATGAAGAGCCTCAACCTTTCCCCACCGACCATCCAGCTACCATATCTTTGATTCAAGGTCAAATGCCCCTCAATCACTACTTGAAATAACCTTTTCAATCTCCCTGACTTTGTTGTTTAAGATCTGTTTTGGTATTAAAAAATATTTTTGTTGTTTCATATACGGTTTTGTTCTTTGTTTGGGAAAAAAAAAAGAGAGAGAGAGAGAGAGAGAGAGAGAAAAGAAAAGAAAAGAAAAGAAAAAGTGATCTATTTTTTTATTTTGTTGCATGTTAGATTTGTTTTTATGATTTGTTTATATTCTTTTTTTCTCTGTTTTTTGTTGTTTCTTCCTTTTCTCCATGTTTTTGTTTCTTCTACTCCTCTCGTTGTGCATTGAAACAAACTGAGAATCCCAACTCTGCTTTAGCCACACACGCCCAACCGCAAGATCAAAAGGATGGAGTGGTTCAGTTTCAAATAAAAGTTTGGTCAAAATTGAGTGATCATATATGCAACCCGAAGTAATTAGTTTGGGTGACAAATCAACAGTTAACATGACCCGTGAACAACACTAATTGCAGCCCCCTAAAAGGCAAAGAGTATGAAACATTTTCCAACATTTGTTTTACTTATTTTAAGAAGGTACATCATTTTATTTTCAAATGATAGAAAGTGAAGATAAAGAAAAGAAAAGAAAAGAAAAATAAAATATATTTTCTAGTATGAATTTTATTATGATAGAAATTTTGCAAGGAAAAGAGAAAAAATAGGAATTCTAATTATAAGTAACTATTTTTTATAACAAAGTTAAACTTCTTTTTTATTTTTTATTTTCCTGTGTTTTTTGCAAGGAACTAGAAACCTAATTAACCATCTATTATGGGGGTTGCACAAGAAAATTAACTTTCTTGTAACTTCCACTACTTTCATGCTAAACAAATTCAAAAAATTATTATTATTATTATTTTTTATTTTTTATTTCCATTTTCCTTCACTTCCCATCACTTTCATCCTAACCAAACTTATAGCCTAACGCTTTGTTTGGTTGGGAGAGTTGAGAAGAGATTTAGAAAATGAAAGAGAAAATGTATGTAAAACTAGATGAAATATAGGTATATTTTATTCACATTTCACTTACATTTTCCATTTTCCATTTTCCATTTTCAAATCCCCCAACCAAACACAGCGTAAGCTATGAAGCACGGATACTTCAAAAAGGGTGACGTATCCGTATCGGATACTTATCGGATACCGATACTCCTCGGATACTCGCGGATACGTATCGGATACTTCTTAAAAGTATCAGATACTTCTTAATTAATTTTTTATTAATTTTGAAGTATCGGATACTTAATTTTGAAGTATCGGATACTCGAAATTATATATTACTTATAATACTTTGTTTAGTTCTTTGATAAGAGGAATATAGTGAGAGTTAAAGTAATAGAATTTGTCAAATTGATGTATCCTTATTGTCTCTCTCACTTCTCTCTCGATTTTTCATTCTCTCACGTTTCTTCTCTCTCGCTTTTTCATTCTCTCACGTTTCTTCTCTCTGTTCTCATTCTTTTTTTGGTGTTGGCATGTAAAGATGATGTTTAATTTGCATTTGCATTTGCATTTGCATTTGCATTTGCTTTTAGTTTTGGATGTTTTATGAATGTTTGAGCACTTTTAGGTTAATAGGAATCCCTCTCCTTATTTATTAATTTACTTTAAATTTTATTTTCATGCATATTACATTATTAAAATTATATATAAAAAAAAAATTATGAATGTATCCCTGCTGTACCCATATCGTACTTTTTCAAATTTTGACATATCGCCATATCCACATCCCCATATCCGTATCCGTGCTTCCTAGGCTATCATTGATGACTTAAAAAAGTATATTTGCTGAAATTTTTATTTAAGAATGGTTTTTTGGCTTTAGCTAAGGTCTTGTGATATTTAATGATGAAGGGGAACAAGTTGAAACTATTGACCTTGAAGACTCTTAGTTTTATAGGAATCTTTCTTCTTTATCAAGTTGTCTTTTGTTTTAGGTTTTATTTTTATGCATACTGCATTACTAAAAATTGTTAAAATAATATTTTTTACGAACGTATCCCCGCCGTACCCGTATCCTAGTTTTTCAAATTTTGTCGTATCGCCGTATCCGTATCGTATCGTATCCGTATCCCGTATCCGTATCCGTGCTTCCTAGAGCGTAAGTAAATGAAATGGAATTTTGACCAAATTATATTTTCATGTTACTCCATTTTGTTAAGTGACTTCATGATTGTGGAGATTTATTTGCCCTCTTTGGGATCGTTTGGGTTCAACCAAAGAGGGTGATGGATATGCTTTGGAGTTGGCGGGGTGCTCGGATAGAGCGCCGACGCCGGTGGGTGTGGTTGTTGGCGCCGTTTTGTTTGATGTGGCTTGTTTGGTTAAGCAGAATAGGCGAACCTTCCAAGAGGTTTCTCATTGTATTTTTTGGTTAGAGAGTCGTCTTATTATAATTATATAGTTGGATGGAGAGGAAGGTTGATCCGGATATGTGTGTTTTTTTAGATTTTTTGAATGATGTGATTGGTTAGGACTTGTGTTTTCTCCCCGATTTGGGGATGCCTTTTTGTATTCTTTGCATCATCTTTATACTCTTTTAATAAAGTTTGTTTATTTATTTATCCAAAAAAAAAAATTACTAACCTGTATATTTTTTAAAAACAAAATAAAAAATAAAGAATAAAAAAGCTTTTACTTTAAATAGACAAATCCAGGATATAGCTTTTTTGAACAAAAATCATTTAACTTTACAACCTTATGCCAGTGAGTTCACCAGAAACCTACGAGTTAATAGAGCATATGATCCACAAACTCACAAATAGGCCAAACATATTTCTTTTAATGATTCCAAATAGACGTATTAATGAGTTTGCAAAGTTGTTAACAATATAGGTTCATAGAGACCTGCATGCAATTCATATGGTGTCTAATCACTCCTTACCTTAGCAATAGGGACAGGAACTTTCACAAAGTGAGGATATTCACGGATCGTGTCGTACATAAGATCTGCCTGCAAAACTTTGGAATTCAGTAAAAATGTACTTGACCTAACTACAACTACTTCGGAGAGAAAAAAATAAGGATAAGGAGTAAGGAATCACCAATTGATGCACAGTGAACACGTCTGGCCCACCAAGTTCATACACTTTTCCCATGCTGGTGCCATCATCTTTTAGGGCCGCAACAATTCCAGATGCAACATCAACAACATATACAGGTTGAATTCTGCAAAGACGATTCTATCATAAACATATCCACAGAAGAATCGGATCAATAAGCAAAAAATTGAAGTCTCTCAATTTACAATATTATATTTATCTTTTATCAGATTTTCAGTTAATAGATTTGAAGACATACTTGGTAGATCCATCCCCAATGAGTGGAAGGAAGCTATAGTTTTTTGCAAAATGTGCCCAATTATTTAAAACCCGATCTTCTGTACCAATCATTACTGCAGGTCTCATTATTGTGGCCTAAAGACAAAAGTATATCAGTAATTTCCCACAGAAAACACATTAATAGCATCCAAAATGAAAGGGTGTAAAGTACAAATACTGCACTCTGCATCACTAAAGCAAACCATAGCAGTTAAAGTCAACTCTTTTTAATTAACAATGGCAACAGAAAAACCAGACGGACTCAACCTTCTGCTTTGAAGTGACAGCATTTCCTTTTTCCAATTCATCTAAGAGTCCATTGAAGTTTTCTTACAAGTATCACCCATGCTAACATATCCCAACGACAATATTCTTTTGGCAAGTATGAGATTGATCCATTTTTCCTAGAACTCAATTTGCATAAATGAAATGTAGTCTTTTACTCATAAGCTTCATAAATAAATTCACTGCAGTTGGAAACATCATCCAAAACATAGATTAAGTTCTACTTTTAATGGTTGTGCTCTTGGAAACCATGATAAACTTGGTGTACTGAGTTCTAGAGATCCATGGTAACAAGGTCCTACTAATTTTTCAAAAGAAACAGTTTAATAGTGAAAGCTATTAAAGCAGATTCGCAGTTCTTTTAAAAAGTTCATTGGGAAGCCATGGTTCTGAAAAATCCACAAATGTTTAAATTGTGGGCATTTGGAAGTTTGTGGTTACTTCTGAAAAATCCATTGGTTCTTTTGCACCTTGTTTCTAAACTGCAATCTATCTTCATAATAAGATCCTAGATCCACAAATGAGGAAGATTATTCATTGGCTAAGCGAGAGGCTGCCCAATGGAGACTTTTAGGGGGGAATTCTACCCATATTGAGGCTCAAGGTAGGTTTATGTATGATTTTGTAAAATTTAAGGTTTTTAGGGGTCAGAAATTTATTTTGTTCATTTTTTCCCTCCATGCCACTTCTTGGAGCCTTCCTCTTCCAACTTGCTTTTTTTTAGAATATAAATAGTAACACTTTGTCTAACATATTAAGTACTTGGCAGTCGCTAACAATTTAACACTATCAGAGCAGACAATAGTATCGTATTTTCAAAACTTACCACCTATCTGATAATAATAATATTTGCATGTATTTGGTCAGCTTATGGAGGAGTGTCTAACCACACGTGATGGCACGTGTCAAGAATATAAAGAATAAAGTTACCCTTGTAATAGTTTAAGCTTTTAGAAGAGTTGGTGGTCAAGGCTCTGTTGTTGTCTTCTCGACTCTTCTTTATTTTTAATGCAATCTATGTTGTTTCCTATCACGGGATAAAAATACACCAACATATGTTATCATTATTTATGTGCTGGAGTTACACGACCTCGTTTGGGAACAAACTATTTTAATAACCTTTTAGCTTTTTATGAAAAGATGTGCAGAAAAGTATAGAGAGTGATGTGACAACTTATAGGGTTCGTTTGGGAAGTGAGTTGGCTTTTTGGCTTTTTTGGCTATCTTAGCCTAGGGCTAAAAAGCCTCGTTTGGAAAGGCTTTTAACTTTTTTATGAGAGAAAGAATGTAATAATTATGGGTTGGATATGATGTTTTGTCTTATTGGGCTAAAAAGCCTATTTTGTTTTTTGTGGCTATTTTAGCCAAAAAAGCCCCAAAACTACCTTCCTAAACGGAGGCATAGTTACTTTTTGACTAAAATACTTAGTCCTCAAATGAGGCCACCGCTTTGAATTATAGAAATATAAAAGGCCATGAAAACATAATAGTTGCAACCATAGCCATTACACAACATTATAGGCTTGCGATGTGAACAATGTGAAGGTGAAACTAGTCAAAATATTATAAATAACAGTCTTATCTTTCAGAAATTAGGTTAAAAATTGGATACAAATATGTCAGATAAAAGTTTTAGCATTGCCACATCATTTAGGCTAAACTGCTAGCTCCTTGTCTCCATAACCACTTCTTTTGATATAGAATAATGCCTACATTTGCATAAATGTTGTCATAATCAACTCAAAAACAATAAGAAAGCAAGATTGAGATCAAAGGCTAAGCTACACCAGGCATAAAAAGAGTATACCAATAAGTAAGACAGTTACAAGACAAATTCTCAAAACAACAACAACATATCAGTCGTCTTTTTTTTTTTTTGGGGGGGGGGGGGGGTGGGGTGTGGGGTTGTTACAAGTCAAGTAATTGGCCTTTTTTTTTTTTTTTGTTTGGTGGGGGGGGGGTGGGGGGGTTGGGGAGCGGTTGTACTTAATAAAACGAACAGTAGTTTAGACCAAGTGTGCAACCTCACCTCTGGTAATTCTTGCATGATAGCTTCCTCAGCAGCAGCTTTTGCTCTTAGCATTCTGGATGGAGATGACAGAGATGCCCCTAAGCAAGAAACATGTATAAATCTCATGATACCACCATGTTCCTTGGCAATCTGCGCACAACATATTTTGAACCCTTAAATACATCAGATCAGCTCCCTTGAGAAAAGTAAATAATTTTTATAATTGGTGATGGTGCACGTTACAAATGTTTTGGAGTTGTTACCGGAAATATTCCCTGCTAAATGTGAGTATTACAAAAATTGATGGAGATCAAAAAGATGCTTTTTGATTAAAGTCTTTCTTCTCCCTCGTTAATCATGTGATCAATAAGCCCACTCACAGATCTAGATGTTCTCCTTCAGTTCCATAGACTCACCATTTTTGCACAGACAACCATGTTGATTAGATTTCTAAGAATTAATTAATTTGATATAAGAGGTTCAACTCTCTCTCCCCAGAGTCTGACTACTAATGTTCAGACAAATCAATTCATGATCTCCTGATTAATTGTGAGTCTTGGGCCACTAATCTTGATTCAGGCTGTCAATGGATGTGTTTGAGATGTTCATATTTGGGATATAGAAGCTGTAGTTGCTGTAAGGAAAATCATACGGAGTTCATTTGGAACCTTGTATGGTCAGTTTCTAGTGTTGAGTCCTGTTTTAGGACTATTTAGGGTTATTATGCTGCTGGTTTGTTTCGTTTGAGCCTTTTCATATTTGAGGAGTTCAGGATATTTGGGTAATTGCAAAACTCATGTATAAAAGCCCGTATGAGTTTGATTCAAATTATGGCCACTTGGTGACTACTTCAACCCATGTCCCGAGGAGTGTTTCCCAAATTATCCTCAATCCTCCTCCAATTCTCAGCAAGCAGATTTTCCTAATACCATCACTATCAGCCATCGACAACAATGTCAATGGAGCTTGCTCAATTAGCAAAGATAATCACAAACAAAAAAAGGAAAAAAGAAAGAACATAGGAACCTACCACTGCAAGCTGTTCAGCCATAGAGTGGTTCACTTCCTCGAAGCTATAATTTCGAGTCTCATATTCCCTTCCTGCCAAGAAGGTAATTGGTAAGTTTTAATAAAACAAAAGATTACAGTATTGATGGGTAAAGTGAGAGCTGAAGATTACAAACCAATAAGATTAATGACAACATTAGCCTTTGCCATTACAGCCTTGATTGAATTTTCATCTCTTGGATTGTATTTCATCGGAACTATCTGCAAAATAAGTATGAGAAGGTCTGAATTGAAGCAGACAATGAAGCACTGCAAACTACATCCACCCAATTAAATAAACATATACTTCATCAAATTCCATTTTACCTGTCCCAAATCACCCATCAATTTGAGATGACGATGAGAATCCTCAGAACCCCGAAAAGGAACCAACACTTGAGACCCCATTTTAGCTGAAAGTAAAGTATAAGCATCAGTTTGGATTACAACCAAACACTTTCAACAAAACAAGTTCAGGATAAGAATATTTATTTAGAATTTGTGTTCTTAACAAAAAAGAGCATATCTACCCTATTTCATCAAGCTAGAACATGGTCCTGCATGGTGTTCACTCGCGATAATATTTAAACCGTCCACACAATTATAACTTCAATACAATAATTATAGCAAACGATAGTTGAAAGGTGATATAGTGTAACATTTATGCAAAGAGAGTGAGTTGCATACTCTATCCTTTCTAATCCTTGCATTTCTATCTCCCTACAACCGGACATCTCTCTCTTTCTCTCCTCTCCTCTTTCCGTTTTTGTCACTTCTTCTTTTCCTTACATGAGTTGTCGTCAGTTGGCATTTGCACCACTCTAGCATAGAATTTAACGCAACAAAAATATTATGGCCTGGTGAAAGACTTCAGCAAATTTATATTATGCAGTGACCAAGAAGTAATGCCACTTAATCACTCCCAGCTTCTTTCCCACCCTTTCTACCAGCCTCTCCGTTCTACATACAACAGTTTTGATTTAATCTTAGTTTTTTTAACAAATGACAAAAAGATGGATACTGAAAAGTATAATAGAGTCTAAAATAGATGCCCAACTCTCTCTCTCTCTAGAACGCTTCCACATCCTATAAGGCATCTTCACATCAAAATTTTGTTGTTTCTCTCACTACTTAATTTCTTATTTTTCAATCTCTCTTTTTCTTTTTTTTCATTTTTTCCTTTTTTGAGGAGTAAATTCCATCCTTTCTATCAGATTGGTACAGGGATTACTAGGCAGCTAATCTATCTATATCTTACATATTATAAGAATGTAGTTGGCTTTCTAAAGACTCAAAGTCATAAATAGTAACACCTCATAAAATGTTGAGATTTTCTCTCCTACATGGCATTCCCTCAAGTCTCCCTTACCCCTTCTCCTAATTTCTAATTTTTAAATATAACAATCAAATAAAACAATAAAACAATAAGAAAATTTGAAACAAAAAATATATGAATTTAGATATAGATCTCAAAAAGATATGACTATATCTAAATATGATTTATGATTTAATAATCTATATCTATCTCTATCTATAAATTTAATTTTTAAGACTGGGAAATACCACCTTATCTCTATCCATAAATTATAATTAGAAACCCTGCAACACACCGTACGGTTTCATAACTATTCTATGTTGTTACAAAAATCCTTCCTCATGTTTGAAAGCAACCACTGGCCAAACTACTCAAACTAATTCCAACAATTAGTTTAATGGAGTCGTTTGATTTTTTTTTCTCCTTTCAATCAACAAAGAACGCTTTCTAAAGTTTTTTGGTTTCTTCCAATGTGACTTCTAATGAAGAACAAGACGAGATATTTATATATGTTTCCCCCCATAGTTACCGGCCGATTCGTACCGGAAAATCATAGCAATGATTCGGATATTCACCGGTATACCGGTGAGAATGAAATTCACAGCCATAGCGTCCGAGTCCCGGTACATAGCGGCGTGAATCCGATATATGGGCCAATACAGGCCAATACAGTCCGATACAGTCTCTGTTTCTGCTTCTGTTATTGTTGTGCAGCGGCGTGAATATAGTCTCTGGTTTTCTTCTTGATGTGCTCTGTTTCTGGGTTTTTTTTTTTTTCTTTTTCGTCGATCTAAAGCTGAAGTTGCCTGGGTTTGGCGGGATTCTGCAACTTCCAGTCAACATTTTGAGTGAGAGAGAGAGAGAGAGAGGTGGTTGTATTATGGTATGAAAGTCTGAGATTGAAGTGGATATACATGGAGATGCATTGGGAGTCTGAGATTGAGATGGGTAAGAAGAGAGACGCACTTGGGTACATGGAGGTGCATGGGTTTATGGTAGATTTGTAGATTCAAATGTTTTAAGTTTTTTTTTTCTATTTATTTGTTTATACACCTATATCTCTATTTATATTAATATATATATATATATATATTTTTCTCAGTACAAGAAAAAATAAATATTCAAATCAATTTTTTTATTAAAAGTTTAACATATGCCAAAAATAAATACATATCATTTAGTTGAAAATGAGTCAAAAATGTTCCTACATAACGAAATTTTGATTCAAATGTAACAAATTAAAGTTAAAAGAGTCAAAAAAATGCATAAAATTTAGTTTTAGAGAGATTGCTAATGATTTTTAAAATTTCACGGTCGCGACACCCGATTCCCGATACGTACCAGCCAATACTACCGATACCGATACTCCGCGATCGATACCGTTAAGTTAGCCGATACCGTGATTTAGAACTATGTTTCCCCCTTAATCCAACCTTTTTTTTTTCCCTCTCATAATGAAGGTTTTCTTTTTTCTTTTTTTGGTTTTTTTGTCTATTCATCAATCAGCATAGAATTCTTATTGAATTTTTTCCCTCTTACAGTGTGAATTGTATTGAAGAACAAGACAACGTGGTTGTATTTTTTCTTGACTTCAACAGTTTCCCCCCCTTTCTTGGTGTAGTCAATTTAATTTGTTTTTTATTTTTTGGGTATCTATACTATATGTACATGTAAGAATGCTGCTCTTGATAGTCATCTCAGTTCAGAAGAGTCGTTCCAGTTAAAATACGCAACACTTGAATGTCCCCATAAAATGATACAAAACCTTCTTGAGATGAGGTGAATATCTTATTTAGTCATATAACCACTTTTTCTCATGGAAAAGGATAATTCTGTACATAGTGATAAGGCTTTAACATCCCAAATTGTAGATGAATTATGGAAAAACAAGTCAAGGTGACATGGATTTGTGCAGAAACAATATTCACAATCCCAAAAGGCTGCCAATTAAGGATAACCCACCAAGTTGTGGAAATGTGAGAACATGTGAAGAAGTTGCAGGACAGAGACAGACAAATACATGCCCAATTTATTCATTTTTGTTGAAGAAGAGAGAATGGCATGAATCTCTATCAGATTGTTTTACAATCAGCACAACAGATTTATTAGGTAATTTGTCTATGTTAATAATAAATAATTATTGAAAATAAAAATGCACAAGCTTTTTGGAGATAGCTAATCTCTTTTAAAATCTTACTCAATTACGTGGCTATATCTGTTGATTTGAATTTTAGATAAATAAAAAATACTCATCGGATAACCTCTTTTAAAATCTCAGTCGATTACAACCTTATCAAATCTATTGACTGTTAAAATCTTTTTAAAAATTTTAAAACATCTATTATTGGATAACCTCTTTTAAAATCTTACTCGATTTATCAAATCTATCAATTGGTAAAACTTTCGTTTTTTTTAAACATCCATATTGGCTAACAACTAAATTTTTAAATTTTGAAATTTATAAAAACAACTATTAAAATACCTATTGGCTAGCAGTTAAATTTGTAGCCCAAGAAAACTAATTAATTTTTTGAGCTTTATAAAATCAAAAAGGTATTAAACTATTTGTGTATTAAACTCTTTATTGTTCATAGTTTCATGTAACTCTTTAACTATTATGAGAAACAAAATGATTAAAAATAATTGTATACTATCATAATTTTTTATAAATAATATATTATTTGATTTCATGCATAGCACAGGTCACATGCTAGTTTATTAATTAAAAGGCCGCATCCAGTACACTAAGGCCCTCACTTAGAACAAGGGTCTAGGAGACGTAGTAGGTAGGCGCAACCTTAACCCCACTTTTTTCTCTTTTTTTGCGGAGAAGTTGATTCCCATGACTCAAACCCATGGCACAAGGCTAGGGACGAACAACACTTTCCATCATGTAAAATCACAACCTCTTGGCTAATGTATTATTTGCTTTCCATGAAACTTTACCTAGGTCTATGAACCTTATATGGAGCAAGATCCATTTTATTGTTGGTTCTATTATTCATTGCTTTATTCATAAGATTAATTGGATCAAAATGATAATAAAAAATTCAAAATATTGAACTATTAAAAAACTATTACCAATTGACACTTATCCCCCCAAAAAAATTAAAAAATAATAATAATCTACCACTAATTTGTAAGTCTGTGTGAAATTTTTCTTAAAAGACCTTACTAATTGAGGAACCTAAACTTGAGATGAGATTTAGGGACTCTCGAATATATTGGGGAAAAAAATATGTAGTAACACTCATAATATATGTTAAAATTCAAAATATTGAACTATTGAAATCAAGATTTTAAAAAGCGGCCGCAACCATTACGTAACGCCGTTATGTAACGGTTGTGGTGGTTACCGCCACCCGTTACGGCCGCTTTTGCGGTGTGATTGAGATTTACAGGTGTGTCGGTTGTAGCGGCTGCCATAACGGTCGTAACGGTGTCGTAACGGCTTGTTATGCACCATTACGTAACGGTTCCAAACTGTTTTTTTCGAAAAAATACACAAAAAAAAGCTAAAAATGGGGGAAGAGGGATAGAGAGAGAAGAGGGAAGATGAAGAGGAAGACGGAGGAGTAAGAGAGAGAGAGAAGAGGGAAGATGAAGAACATGTATTGATTTTTTAAAATGTATAATTTATTTTTTAAAACTATTTAAATTAAAATTTGCATATACTTCCACAAGTATATTAATGAAAAAAATAATTTTATATAGCTAACTCCAATAAAAAAAATTTTTGCTACAAGCGCAATATGGATTTATGACATATAAAATCATTAATTATTATAATAAAATGTAAAAAACTCAGTTTATAGTGATTTAAAAATATGAAATATATTGAATTATACTAAAAATTTACAAAAATTGATCAATATTTATTTATAACCCAATAAATATGATTATGGAAAAAAAATATGCGCGGGTATGCTTTTTTTCAAATTGTGTAAAAAATAAAAAAATTCACAGTTTCGATTACCGCAACCGTTACGCTATAACCATTACACCCCGCAACCACAACCACAACCGCGCCACCGCCACCGTTACAGCGACCGCAACCGCATTTTAGAACCTTGATTGAAATACTATCACCAATTGACA